TTAGAGGATTGTAAACTGCTCTGGGGACTGTTATGATTGAAGGTGCAGGATGAAAGCTATTTAATAAAATAACTTAAGTCACATATAATATTGTAAGTTATAAATGATAATTTACAGGAAAATGCAGTAAGTTTAGAGTTCAAAGCAGAGCCCTCAAAGTAATCTGTGAAGCTGGTATATCTGATTTATAGGCGAACTCAGTCTGAGGGTCCTCTTGTGGACCCCAGCCCCCTGAGGTGAGTCAAGTGGCAGCCAAAGGGGGCCCTTTCCTTGGAACTTTCTAAGCATGTTTGCTAGGTACCACCTTTGTTGTTTTTAAGTGCCAGATTGTCCTGTTCCCTCACACTTCATCTGCTTGTTTATTGCTGTGGTTTGCCATTCTTTAAAGATCATGTTATAAGCAATCTTTTTTTGTGGCTGCATTTATTGTGGCTAGGGGCCTCAAAAGCCAGCAGTGGTCTGGGCCTCGCCAGGCCTCTATTCAACCATCAACATTAGGTGGTTAGGGTTATGCTCACAGTTATGAAAATTGTAGAAAAAAGCTCTCAAATTGCAGTCTTTTATTTATAGTAGACAACAGCCACCCTAAGGAACTAGGTTTGGGTAAACAAAAGAAGGTAAAACAATATATCTTTTTAAAAATCAAGATTGGTATTTGGGTTTTCTTTGGTATAATATTGTACATCAATATGCCCAGGAAAATGTTTTTGTAATCATGATAGATGTTTTTAATGGTGGGGGTAAGAAAAATGACTACCCTTCAATTTTTATAAAGTGCACTATACAGTTTTTGTTTGTTTTTTAGCTATATCCCTATCCTGCCTTGCTCTGCTACATACCTAGTCTCCACAACAGAGCCCAAGAGTGGTATGTTTCAGGGCAAACTCCCTTCTAGTTTGTTTCCAGGTGTCAAGATTAGGCTCTTTCTGTCTTCTTGACTATGCTTTTGTGTTTTGATAGCATATACCGTATTTTTTGCTCTATAAGACTCACTTTTTCCCTCCTAAAAAGTAAGGGAAAATGTGTGTGCGTCTTATGGAGCGAATGCAGGCTGTGCAGCTATCCCAGAAGCCAGAACAGCAAGAGGGATCGCTTCTTTTGCTGCGCAGCAATCCCTCTTGTTGTTCTGAGATTCAGAATATTTTTTTCCCTGTTTTCCTCCTCCAAAAACTAGGTGCGTCTTATGGTCTAGTGCGTCTTATAGAGCGAAAAATACGGTACTTTCTTTCAATTTTAGTTACTGCATGCAAGGGTTCAAGCTCATATGTCTTACAGGAGTAAAAGACAGAATTCTCTTCTCTGTTGTGATCTAGAAGCTCTAATTCTAAATATCTGAAGCAGCTCAATGGGCCACAATCCAGCCTAGAATGGTCTCCTTGAGCCAACAAATTTTGAGCACACCAAAGTCAGTGCAGTCTGACAATCAGTATACCTATTTTTAACTAGTATTTGTGGCACAGCACAATATCAGTTGGTCAGACAACACACTTGAACAGCAATTAGAATATTTTCTGATTTTTTTTAATATAAATCATGCTGAACATTGTATCAATTTATTAAACAGAATAAAGTAATCTTCAGATTATCTTTATCCAAGGATTAGTAGTTCCAGCTACCACTGACCTCTTTTCAAAGTATTATAATATCATTATTAATGGTTATGCTGGCTGGGGCTGATGGGAATTGTAGTCCAAAAATCCAGGAGAGCACCTGGCTGTGGATGGCTGAACTAGCCACTTGAAGAGTATTTATTATTTTTCATAATTTAACCTCTTTCTTAACACTAGAAAACTTAACATTAACTATGCATGCTATGAAGTTTGCTCTTTATCAATTTCCCCCATACCACACATAATTGCATATACCTCTATCATTTCTCTTCCCACACCCTTTACTCACTTTCCCCACTAAAGCAACACGTTTAACATAACCTTTCCTCTCCAGCCCCCAAAACATTTTGGTTCTCAATTTAGCACTTTTTTCAGGTCAATGATATCTTTTAGGTATGGCAAGCAGAACTTGAACATAGTATTTGTATAATGGTAGTATTATGATATAAGCAATTTTATTTTCAATCCCTTTCTTTCATGGGATTCTAATTTTCATAGCTGCTGCACACTGGGTTAGCATTTTCATTGATCTAGTTCCCCTAAGCCCAATATCTCTTTCCTAGTCAGTTGCCAATTAGCATAATTGTGAAGTGGTTTTGTGTTTTTTACCTTATCATGTGTTACTTTATACTTGCTCTCCCCCCCATGTAACTTCTTACATAGAATCCACATTTGCCATTTAATGCCATTGCATCCAGGATTGTAGATGAGGTCTCCCCTTAACCACAACCTGTAACCCCAAAACATGGTTAAGGAGGAGAGCTCTTATCACAGTTGTGGGTCTGTACAACATGCTGAGCCAAACCTTGGCTTGGCTGGGCTGCCACCCATCTATCACCTAAAAAGACCAGGGAGGAGCAAAATCTACTCCTTGCAAACCAGCATGTTTGCACTAAGCCATGGTTTGGCTTAGTGTGACATGCAAATGTGGCTGGCATGCTGCAAAATGCACAGACCTGCCCCCATTGCATCCAGTTTGACCTTTATTATTGAATAATGCTGTCCTCTAATTTGGTTTCTTATTTGCAAAAAGGGATGGAAGATACTGAATAGATACACCCCTGTGAAATAACATACACTAATTGTCCAAAGATAAAAAAGGGCTTCTGAATGATAAATGAAGGGCACAAAGAAAAGTGGAATGGGGAAGTCTCCATTTTACAGTCCGTAAGCGCCTTCTGCTGAAGATTAACAGATGTCCATCTGGCAGCTCTCATGTATCCATTTGTTCATAGCTTTGGGGGGGGGGGGCGTCGGGGATTAAGTGAAACTAGGAATCCCTTCCATTAGTAATTGGTCTTTAAAAAATCACTGCATGGTAACCTGCCATTTACATACAGCATAAATGTGGGAAGAGGGGTGAATCAAAGGGAAGCCTTTTACAGGAACTGTTCTGAGGAGTTGGCTGTTCAGTATAGAAGATGCTGAGTGTTATATGTGTGCTAATGCAGTGTGTTCAGATAGATTATGTGATTATTCACAGTGTGCATACATACTGGGTATGGATGGAAGAAAACCAAAAATGCAGCCCACAGTGAGTCAGCTAAAAATCATAATTGCACAGAGGTGCATTTTATCCTTGCCCACGTGCAGCTCTTCTGTTGCTTTGTGGCAACACAGTTGTGTCTCAACACTGAAACTACAATGATGTGGTTGTGCAAATGACCCTGTACCTGTGATTGTTGAGATGGCACACCTTGGCCAGGAAACTTACAGGTGATGTAGCTGCACTAACACCACACAAAAAGGAGTATGTATTTGAGATATTGCTACAATAAATGTGCCTGGAGATTTTATAGAGACTTTCACTTAAACTTTTAAAGTGTGTGTGTGTGTGTGTGTGTGTGTGTGTGGTGTTTTTTCCATTTAAATAGAACTAGTTGTATTGTCTGAGCACAAGGGTATTCAAAAACCTTCAGTATTGCAGATGTTTGAGTGGTCTGTTACATTTCATTTCTATGAAGCTAACTTACAACATCAAGTTACAGTGGTGCCCCGCAAGACGAACGCCTCGCAAGACGGAAAACCCGCTAGACGAAAGGGTTTTCCGTCGCGGAGGCGCTTCGCAAAACGAATTTCCCTATGGGCTTCCTTCACAAGACGAAAGCCCATAGGGAAATCTCCGGGACAGCGGGGAAGCGCAGCGCCTCTTCCCCACTGTCCTGGGAACTCCTCCCGCCGCCAGGCTTCGGAAGGCTGCTCCGAAGCCTGGCGGGGGGGGGCGGAGAGGTTTTTTTTAAAAACCCTGGGACAGCGGGGGACTTCTCCGCTGTCCGGGGCGATTTTAAAATGCTGCCAGGCGGCAGCGCTGACGCCTGGCAGCATTTAAAAAAACCCGGGACAGCAGGTTTAAAATCGCCCCGGGCGGCGCGTTTCTCCACTGTCCCGGAGGGCTTTTGAAGGCAGGCGGGGGGAGCAAAGACTTTCGCCCCCCGCCCGCCTTCAGAAGAGGTCCTGGACCTCTTCTGAAGGCGGGCGGGGGCAAAAGGCTTTGCTCTCCCTTGCCTGCCTTCCCGGGAGAGCGGAGAAACGCAGCGCGTTTCTCCGCTGTCCCCGACGGCTTTTGAAGGCAGGCAGGGGGAGCAAAGACTTTCGCCCCCCGCCCGCCTTCAGAAGAGGTCCAGGACCTCTTCTGAAGGCTGGCGGGGGGCAAAAGTCTTTGTCCCCCCTGCCTGCCTTCCCAGGGGCTTTTAAATCGCCCCAGGACAGCGGAGAAGTCCTCCGCTGTCCCGGGGTTTTTTAAAATGCTGGGGGTGGGAAGAAAAGCCCTTCGTCCCCCCCCCAGCCTTCAGAAGAGGTCGGGGGACAGACTGTCCCCGGACCTGGTCTGAAGTCGGTTTCCCTAGGAACGCATTAATTGATTTTCAATGCATTCCTATGGGAAACCGTGCTTCGCAAGACGAAAAACTCGCAAGAAGAAAAAACTTGCGGAACGAATTAATTTCGTCTTGCGAGGCACCACTGTACTGTCTGTTTTAAGCAGATGATGAGATTGGTGTCAAGTAATAGTTAAAATATATAATTTTCTCTGTATTGGCAGGCCATATGTTCATCAATTAGTCAGCCTGCAACCATAATTTTCCAGTTCTCATGTCATACTTATGCATTTGTTTTAACTAATCCATAGGCAACTAATGGAAACAAAAGTCAAATTGTCTGTACAGAGAACATCCTAAAATAGATCCATGCCAGCTTCCCAGCAATGATGGCACTGCAGTTTGCCCCATTTTATGGCTTATAAGACTAAAAAGGAGAATGAAGTGTTACACACATTTCCTCCCAGAAAGAAAGAAGTTTAAATTTCCATATACTGTGAAGTCCATTTCTATCATTACTTTAAAACTGACAAAGCAAATGCATTTGTTTTCATTTTCTTTCTTTTAATTTTAGGAACAGGTTCCAGTTCCAGTTTACCATCCAACTCCCAGCCAGACCCGCCTAGCAACCCAGCTTACAGAAGAGGAACAAATTAGGATAGCGCAAAGAATAGGCCTTATACAGCACCTGCCGAAAGGAGTCTATGATCCAGGAAGAGATGGTTCTGAGAAAAAGATCAGAGAGTAAGTGCCATTTTTTGTGGTAACATCACTTATGTAAATACATGAAATAGCTGCACTAAAAGCAATTACTTATCAGTTTTCATCAATGTGTAAGTTGCTTCTCATCAGAATAATTGTTGCAAAGAAGAAATTAGATAATGCAATATGTGAAAACATCAGAAAAATCCACAAAATACGATAGAAGAAAAATCTCATAGATCAGATAAAGTTAAGCAAACCCACTACAGGCTTTGCTGAATAAGAATTATCTTGCAGTGATAAGGAACCACAAAGATGTAGTTGTTCATGCTACCAGGGGAAGGTTGTGCCACTACTGAGAACACCCATATTCTCAGTCTTCTTCAGAACCTTTTTGACATAGGCTGCTTCCAGACAGTAATTTATTGTGGAATTAGTGCTGCTCATGCATGCTAATTTTTTCATGCATTCCATGTGACATTGTCAAAACAATCCCAGCCCATTACTCCCCTCACTTTATAAACTGGATTTTCACCACCATAGAAAATCATGTAAGTATTATACATCTGCAGCCACTAATGGCGTAGATGCTTGTTAGTGCATTTTTTGGATGAGTGATTTCTTAAATATAAAATGCTGTTTCAATAGGTGACCTGTAATTCCGGACCCCTATTTCTGTTTACCCCAAACCTGCACACAAGCTAGCCACCCAGAGAATTTGAGTGTAGCTGTTTTCATCAGTGCTGTAACCTGATGAGGAGGAACACTTGCAGTATTGCCTCAGACTGCATATACATACAATCACTCTTATTTCTTCCTTGCCTAACCACAGAGATCTTGCACAAGACTTCAGTAATTTTTTTTAACCCAACTCCTCCACTTTGCCCACTGTGAAATAAGGCTGGCAATATTTGCTCTTAAACACTACTCAGAAATTTGGAGCAATGTGTAACCGAAGCCTTCTGTGCCCCATCTCACACTATTAGATGGTACCCCAGCTCTCTTGTGTAAAATCTGGATCCAAAACCAGTAACCCTAATCCAGTTGGGTTTGTCATGCCGATTTCTGAGGGGTTCCTGGCAAAGTGGGGTGGCGGGTGGCACATAGGTGTCACAGCTGAGTAATGACTGAAGAGGATGGACAACCTAGTGGATACTGTGAGCCAGTCCTCCACACAGCAGCCATGACATCATTTTTGTCTAATTCACAATGGATTAATTAAGAAACTGGGTTGCCCTTTCTGGTTGCAAAAAGATACTCCTAATTAAGGTCCAACATTGCCTGCTGATCTTTGAAGGTGGCCCTATAGGGAAGGTCAAATCAAGTGAATATAGTAGTAAGTTTGTTTCCAGGAAGACCTCCCTCTGCTACCAAGAAACTTCATAAGGCAGCAAGCAGTTTCCCCTCCACATGTCTCCTTCACACCTGTACAGCTCAGTGCTCCTAGTAATTGGATATGCTCTTTCCGTAATGGCACTACAAGGCAAACACACTTATAAGAAAAAAAACTCATGCTGTGGGTATTTCTAGACTGAATTTGAGTTATATTTTGCTTTCCTTCATGGCTCAAAGCAGCTTGCAACTTTAAGGTATTACCATAGAAAATGATTCCAGAGTAAGCTACAAAAGAGTCACAATAAACTTTGGACCACCAGGGGGGAAAATATCAAGAGTTGTATCTAGCATTGCCTGTGCAGAGTTTCCCTCATGTAATGGAGCTTCTTCCCACCCCACCTCCCTCAAAATCTCCTGAGCTTCCTCCCACCTTCTGGAGCAGATGGAGGGGGTGTGGAGGCTGCAAGGGAAAGTTCTGTTAGACAAGCAGAAGTCTGCTCTGTTAGTGGAACAACAAGTGTTTGATATGGCTCCAAATCTACAGGAGGGAAAGACCTTCCTTAGGGCCAACCAAAAGACCACCAAATAGTGGTCAAGTTTCTGAGTTCTGTATAGCATTTCATGATGCTGAATGTTAAGCAGAAAAAGGAGTAAGAAAAAAGTTGGCATGATAATATTGCCATGAAATTTGCAGTTATAACAGCCTTAGAGTTCTGCTGACTTATTTGGATTAGCCTCTGCTAACTGATTTCAGGTTACATCAGTGGTTGCTGGGGGAAAAAATGTTCATGACTGTTAGGTTCAATACCTTTTATTTTCAAAAAATAGCACTATCTCCAACATTAGGCATAACACATGGATGTTCCCTGTGAGATAAAATGTAGAAGTAAAAAAGAGAAACAAAGTAGTTTTATATTAAAACTATAGATTAATTTTAGGTGCTGCATCAGATATAAGCAAGTGCAGTTTCCATTCACTTATTCTATTACTTAGCAACTTGTGGATATGAAACCCCTGCAAAAGGTATGGTTCTATAAGCAAACATAGAAATCAATAATAGTAAAACCAAAGAATATTCAAAATTATTTAGGAAGGTTCTACATCTCTAAATTTTAAATGTTAATAAGCTAATCTATTTGTTTTAGCGGACGGGTGCTTCAGCAACAAGCATTTCCCCTTATGCTTTGGTAAGAGGTGGGCAGGTTAATATTTCAGCTGAGTTCAGATTCTCTCCATCTTGTTTCCTTTTTTCCTTTCTAGATGTGTGATCTGTATGATGGACTTTGTTTACGGGGACCCTATCAGATTCCTGCCATGCATGCATATTTACCACCTGGACTGTATAGATGACTGGTTGATGAGATCTTTCACGTGTCCTTCCTGCATGGAGCCAGTTGATGCAGCACTGTTGTCCTCCTACGAGACTAACTGAGCCAGAGCTTCTCTTCTGACCTGTCACGGAAACCATCCACTTTAAAGGGGTTTGATCCTTTGCCATCTGCCCAAAGAACCAGGGATTAGGAAACGAAATCATGCACAATAAAATCTCATTTCTTAAGAATAAAGAAATATCCTGAATAGCAGACAGAGGGAGGGAGGGAGGGAAGGAAGGAAGGAAGAAGAAACACATTTATAGACTATAGAAAAAGTAGGAAGTTATTTTTATGTAAAGCCTTGATCCAGTGCTTACAAATAGTTGCTCCTTAAGAAAGCCTGTTAGCACACCCATACAGAAGAACTGTGTGAATAATAAAATATGTTAAAAATTAAATTGTGTGGATGCAGCCCACCAGGAAGTTTTCTGTTCAAGCTTCTTTGAGATGAATGACAAGAACACTATTGGGGAGGTGTGAGTGTGTGTGTGTGTGTGAGAGAGAGAGAGAGCGTGCGATAAAAAGGAGAAAGGGATGCTGGAGTATCCTTTGTCCTAAAGAAAACTGCATTTTTTGTTCAGATTGCTTCACAAGTTCCTGGTATTTGGGTCAATGCTCTATTTACAAAAAAAGCTACATTTTATAACACTGGCACAAAAATAGTTTCAAGCTTGTTTGCACAGTTTTTTTATTCATTGGAAATGGAATCCATTTTGCCTTAGGTCTTCTAAAATAGTGTATTCTTATTTTGGGGCTGGCTCTATGCTTGAAAACCAGTTTATTTATAACATGTTATAAAAGTGCTATATTTTGTTTGCAGTTAGGATTATGTGGACTTTGAGAAGATCTCCTAGCTTGTAAGCAAACTTGAGATGCACTTTTTTCTATATGAGACATTTTAATGTGACAATATTAAAAGAAAACCAACACAAACCAGTATTTGCCTTTCTAGTGTTTCCTTTCATCATTTTCTTTCTAAACAGAGTGCAGAATTCAAATACTAAAATTGATCTTACATTTATTAAGTTAAAATGGAGCATGATGAGGACAAGATAAAGATCACCCTGCATCTCAAAAACACAATTTGTTGGGGATGCATTCTTTTTAAAAAGTTTCATCTTGGATCATATAAAAAAAATACTGCATCTCTTGTTTTTGTACTTCTTAGATTCTCAAGACCATACTGTGTCTCGGTCTCTGTGTATTAAGTGTACCTTTGGTATTCTTTTGGTTGACATAGTAGTCTATTGGCAGATATTAAAATATTCTATATTTTATGTTTTATATGCAAAATTCATATTTGGCAAATAATTACATAAAACTGATCAAGTTAGTGATCCTACGGCTGGTAAGGGTTGTTCCAAGTATTTACATTTATGAAACTAAAAAGCAAAGTGATGTGCTTGATAGAGGCAGTCTTGCAGAGAGGGTAGTTGAAAAAAAAAATCCACTTAGGATGTGGAGTTTTGTTCTCTTAAAACATTCTTTAATGTGACCTTTATACTTTTGACTTAAAGCCAATATGTTGAAATGTCTTAGTTTAGCATGAGATGCAGGCAATGTATCAAGGACTGTTCTGATTGTTTTGGCTACATGATTCGAAGAAACTGTATGTAAACAACTACTGCACTGAAGACTATGTCTACAGTATAAGCACTGCAGACTGTAAGCAAGCATTCACCTAACAAATTCCATCAGCGGAAGCTGTACACAAGGACTAATGCAACAGGGCTTTCACCCCTCTCCTCACCCCATGCTTCCTGAAATTGGCTCTGGATGTTTGTCAGGAGACCCCCCAGAACAGCATGCAAGGGGAGGAGAGGGAGGCTTGTTCCATCTGGCAAGCTGAAATGCTTGGGCTGATGGTAAGATCAGAAGAGCACAATGTGGAATTCCTCTGTCAATGCTATAGAATAGAGCAATTACATGTAAAATAATTTCTACAGGAGTAGTTGGCAGATTGCAAAAGTATCCACTAACCTGTGGAAGATGCTGTATAAGTCACTGTAGACTATTTCCATTCAAATGCCTTCCATATCCCATGGTGTGTAGTGGTGTATACACAGCACCTATGCAAGCAGCCTTTCCTATTTGTTTTGTTGGACAAGGCAGACTCGGGCATACTCCAAATTGCCCTTGTAAGTGAAAAGAACAAAGGCTGGGAGGACTTCAGTGTTTGCATCAGAATCGACATACCTGCAAAAGACTGCTGGATTGGGATAGTTGTTAAAGTATAAATGGTGCACTGTTGGAAGAAAGTAACTAGCAGTATACAGTCTTGGGTTGATTTGCATTGCAAACCTTTTCCAGTTCCCCTCCTTTAATTCAGCTATTCTTAATTACAGGAAGTAAATCTGAGAAAGAAAAATATGAAGTTGTGCAATATTTTCAGTAGTAAATCATACTACCTTTCTTATCATTCCACCTGTTGTTTTCCATATATGTTGATGTCTATCTTGTCAAGTATTATAGCCAGACTTTTCTTCTTTTACCTTGGATTGTTAAATCGACAAATGAACACTTTTTAAACACCTTTTTCTTGTTCATTGTTGTTTGTTCCCAAGATTTTTTTTAAAAGACAGAGGCAGGGAATGTTATGAGAAAGTGAGTTGTAACTGGTTTTCCCAACTTAATTTCACAAACCTCCTACTTTTTATTAAGCTATTTATTAAAATATTAAAGGGTTAAAATTGTAAGAGACTTTCAAAAGAACATGCTAAATACGCCTTGTGGCCTTTTATTCAAATACCAAACCAATTTTATATAAATTGATTTTAAACCCTCATAGTTTCATAACATATTCAGTGCTTTTTTTTTCTGGGGGAGACGAGAGGTATGCATACTCCTAAGTTTGGCCTCACTGAGGGGCAGTATTTCAATATGAATAGGAAAATGAGAGTACCCTCTCAACATTTTTTTTTTATAGAAAAGTAGCACTGGATAGATTTAAGTTTAACTTTTGTTCTAAAACTCTATCGTATGATCCTCTGGCTAAAACAAACTATTGTAAATATGAGTTGTACATTACATGGAAAGTAAATCATTTCTTTATATGCCATGTTTCATGGCAAAGTATCATTAAAACAACACTGCAAAAATAAAGGCATTATAACATTATTATTTTCATTTTTTTTCCAAATGGAAAAAAATGAAAACATTATGACATTAAAACACCAACAGTTAATGCAAAACAGAGCACCATATATTTAAAAGAACTTGCCTGTTCCTCCATGAGAACCGCCAAATTGTGAATTGGATCTTTCAGGGGGAACGCAACAAGTTTAAATAGGTAGAAGTAAATATCAACCATATTGCAAAGGGGAATTTGAGGTTGTTTGAATGCTCTTGGCAACAAAGGAAGACCACTGAAATTTGACAAAAATATTGCATAAAGACCTGTAATAGAACATTGGGTGTGCTATTTAATATGTCGTACCTACTGTAAAATAAAAAAAATATCTAATGGGACATTAGCAATTCAACAGACCATTAAGCTTTCTTTATTGCTGGGTGTTAAGAGGATATGAACAAGGGATGAAATTCACAAAAATCTATGACAATTAGGTGAATCTACAAAACTTCCCAAGTTATTCTACAAAAGCTTATTGTTTTTCAGATTGTAGCTTAAGCAACATCGCCTGTAACCTTACGCTTAAGTATGTATTAAATATGTGTTTAATACTATTAGAAGTTATAAAGCAATACTCCTGCACAACCTTCATCAATTTCAACAGAACATTCAAGTTTAGTTTAGTTTCCTGAATAGGCATAACTTTCAAAAGTTACTTGCCTATAAGTTCTATTAAAAACAATGGAATTATGGAACTATACTGTTACCATCTTAAACATCCAAAATTAATTGTAAATTCCACTGAACTCATTAGGATTTACTTATCAATCTGTAGATGTCCAAGCTGTCATTTCCATTGATTTCAAACAGTCTCCAATGCAACAATTAGGTTTTCCTGAATGCTGCTGGAAGTCTATTCAGCAAGAAGGGTATTTTGAAAAGAAGGGGAGGGGGGGAGTATAAGGGAAGACATGATACATACAACAAAAATACGAAGAACAGCTAGCTTGATTTTGTGCTTTTTATAGTTGCACTGTACACATATTCTGCATCCAATATAAAGAGTCTTTAGTATACTGTATTGAGAAAAGATTAATAATGCCTACTCAGCGAAAAGGTTCTCTGGTATATATTAGTTTCGCATTGAGAGAAATCAGCCACATGTGAAATCTATGTTTTCAGTTTTCTACTGAAACTAAAGAAAGGTGAAATTTGAAATAACACAAATCTATTTGACACACCCCATAAGAAAGTCCTGCAAGTAACAGAAATGCAGTAACAAATCATCCCCCTACTGTACAACAGAATGTGTCAAACTTCCTGCCACCTTAAATCTATAGTGGGTACAGTGGTACCCCGCAAGACGAACGCCTCGCGAGACGAAAAACTCGCAAAACGAAAGGTTTTTTCGTTTTCGAGTTGCCTCGCAAGACGAATTTCCCTATGGGCTTGCTTCGCAAAATGAAGCTTGCCCCGGGGACAGCGGGTCTTCTCTTTTGAAGCAAGGGGCGGCGGGGAGATCGCTTCTCCCCACCGCCCCTTGCTTCAAAAGAGGTCTGCCCCCGGACCTCTTTTGAAGCAAGGGGCTGCGGGGAGATCGCTTCTCCCGGTGCTCCGAAGCGGGGGGGGGGGGCGGGAACACCTGCCCCAGCCGCCGGGCTTCGTAGCGCTGCTGCGAAGCCGGGCGGGGGGCGGGAACACCTGCCCCAGCCACCCCGCTTCGGAACGCTGCTCCGAAGCGGGGTGGGGGGGCGGGAACACTTGCCCCAGCCACCGGGCTTCGTAGCGCTGCTGCGAAGCCGGGCGGGGGGCGGGAACACCTGCCCCAGCCACCCCGCTTCGGAACGCTGCTCCGAAGCGGGGTGGGGAGGCGGGAACACCTGCCCCAGCCGCCGGGCTTCGTAGCGCTGCTGCGAAGCCGGGCGGGGGCGGGAACACCTGCCCCAGCCACCCCGCTTCGGAACGCTGCTCCGAAGCGGGGTGGGGGGGCGGGAACACCTGCCCCAGCCGCCGGGCTTCGTAGCGCTGCTGCGAAGCCGGGTGGGGGGCGGGAACACCTACCCCAGCCACCGGGCTTCGTAGCGCTGCTGCGAAGCCGGGCGGGGGGCGGGAACACCTGCCCCAGCCACCCCGCTTCGGAACGCTGCTCCGAAGCGGGGTGGGGGGGGCGGGAACACTTGCCCCAGCCACCGGGCTTCGTAGCGCTGCTGCGAAGCCGGGCGGGGGGCGGGAACACCTGCCCCAGCCACCCCGCTTCGGAACGCTGCTCCGAAGCTGGGGGGGGCGGGAACACTTGCCCCAGCCACCGGGCTTCGTAGCGCTGCTGCGAAGCCGGGTGGGGGGCGGGAACACCTGCCCCAGCCACCCCGCTTCGGAACGCTGCTCCGAAGGGGGGTGGGGGGGCGGGAACACCTGCCCCAGCCGCCGGGCTTTTTAGCGCTGCTGCGAAGCCGGGCGGGGGGCGGGAACACCTGCCCCAGCCACCCCGCTTCGGAACGCTGCTCCGAAGCGGGGGGGGGGCGGGAACACCTGCCCCAGCCGCCGGGCTTTTTAGCGCTGCTGCGAAGCCGGGCGGGGGGCGGGAACACCTGCCCCAGCCACCCCGCTTCGGAACGCTGCTCCGAAGCGGGGTGGGGGGGCGGGAACACCTGCCCCAGCCGCCGGGCTTCGTAGCGCTGCTGCGAAGCCGGGCGGGGGGCGGGAACACCTGCCCCAGCCACCCCGCTTCGGAACGCTGCTCCGAAGCGGGGTGGGGGGGCGGGAACACCTGCCCCAGCCGCCGGGCTTCGTAGCGCTGCTGCGAAGCCGGGCGGGGGGGGGGCGGGAACACCTTCTGAAGGCGGGCGGGGGGCGAAAGTCTTTGTCCCCCCTGCCTTCCTTCCCAGGGGCTTTTAAATCGCCCCGGACAGCGGAGAAGTCCTCCGCTGTCCCGGGGCAATTTTAAAATGCCGCCCGCCAGCATTTTAAGATCGCCCGGACAGCGGAGAAGTCCTCCGCTGTCCCAGGGTTTTTTAAAATGCTGGGGGTGGGAAGAAAAGCCCTTGTCCCCCCCCCCAGCCTTCAGAAGAGGTCCGGGGACAGTCTGTCCCCGGACCTGGTCTGAAGGCGGTTTCCCTAGGAACGCATTAATTGATTTTCAATGCATTCCTATGGGAAACCGTGCATCGCAAGACGAAAAAACCGCAAGACGAAGAGACTTGCGGAACGAATTAATTTCGTCTTGCGAGGCACCACTGTACATTGTTTCTGCAATGTAGCTTCTAACCCTGCTCCAGGAAATTGGTGACATCCAGAACCTATGGGCATTCTGTAGTACCACAGAGGGGCTGATCAATATGTGCAGTCCTATCAAAATAGTAGCCACTGATGTAGCCAATCAGTTGTTTGGTAAGAAGGGAAGAGTGAATCCAACCATCTGCCAAAGAGGTCATTGGTGCTCTCTAAATTTCTAGCAGACCGCCCCCCCCCAAAAAAAAAGTTCCAGCAGCTAGTTAAAGAGGAAGGACTGCATGATTAACACTCTCCCAAATGATATGGCTAATCCAAACTGGACATGCTCCAGTTCAAAAGATCCTGTACTGTAAAATGGCTTATGAATGTTCACAATGCCTCCAGTAGAATATTAAAACAGGAGTAGCCAACTTGGCACCTTGATGTTGCATCATCATCCCTGGCCATTGGCTATGCTGGCTGAGACTGATGGGAGCTGGAGTCCCAAGAGCTGGAGGGCACCATGCTGGCAATCCCTGTTCCAAATCATATGCCACTTTAGGGGGGAAATCAAATAACCATGTGCTGCTCAACAAAAAGAGTAAACCAACACTAAACTTCTTGAAAGACTCCAGTTTTCTTAATGCAGTCTAAATGTGACTTTTGCATCAGAAAGAGATTCTGGTTTATTTACTTTGGTTATTTCAACATTGATAACTCTTTCAAACTGGTAAGCATCAGCACGTTGCAACTGGATTTTGGCTGCATTGGTAATTTGTTGGCATCTTGAGTGTTAGCAAAATAGAATACATTAGAAGAGGAAAAAATGAAAGCGAGCTTAAAGAACAGTACATTATAATATTAAACCTGAATCAAAGGTTATTAATTGGTTGTTCCTTCTATCAGGAAAACTATTACCTCATTTAAAAAGTAGTTTAAAAAATTCAGTCTATGTAGAAAATAAACGTTATATTCATAACCAAGTGTGATCTAGGTATTTGTCAGCAACTCTATAGAGTTCATGATTTCATCCGTTTAAATATTCTTTGCCAAATTAATGAACATGGACATCTTATTTAAAAAACTTATAAAGAAAGTAAGTCACATTTGTATATATTATAAACAGTCGTGGAATGAAATACTGGTTTGTTAACCCCTCAGTATTTTTAAATTAAATACGTTTTGTGCTAAACTTGACAAAGTCCACCTTAAAACTACTGCCTGTAATGTCCTCTTGTGGCAGTTTGCATACCAAACAAGATTTCTTTTTTAAAAGTTAACATGAAACCTCCGCTTCCAGAACACCATTTTCTGGAGACAATTTGGCTTGGTGCAAAGCAGCTTGAATTCTGAAGTGTGTTCTTGTTTCCATGGAATAATTCTTATAATTTTGCCTAAAACAAAACAGATATATATTGTGATAGGCACTTAAATATTGCACCTCCCCATCATCATTGTATTGCAATATTTAAAAGAACAATTTTTACAAAGCGAAGGTAGAAAAACC